ATGATTTCAAGTATAAAACTACTAAAATCTCCACAAAACCCCCCTTCTGTTAATTCATTTCTGATAAAGCGTTTTCTGAAGATAAAACATTTTTGAATAGTGATTATTTATTTATTCTTTTAATGGAACACAGTCTTTTATAACATACATTAGACAATTTAAATACATGATGAAAGAAACATACGAAACATAACATTCTGTACTTTAGTTTTCATTGTTAACACAATGGATACTTTGGTAAATGTTCCGGTATGAGTGAATATTTTGTAAAAATTACTTTTTAAATATTTTCTCAATAGAATGTATTTGTAGAAAATTCATTTTAAATCTCTGACTATACATTCAACTGAAGTACTTTCAAAAATTGTATATACAATATGAAAAAATAAGTTATTAAAATACAAATAATCAAGGCTGTTTACTCTCCTCCTTCCTCTTTTTTCTGGTTATTGAATGGATTTTGAAGACCTCGACATCTGAGAGGAAGCACGGAATACAATGGACAACTCAGAATCAATTAGACAATTTGAATTTCGCAGATGAACTAGCCCTTCTATCCCATACACATCAATAAATGCAGACGAAGACAACTAATGTAGCAGCGACCTCTGCATTAATAGGCCTCAAAATACAAAAACGAAAAAGCAAGGTTCTCAAATACAACAAGAAGAACACTGACAAAATCACACTTGATGGGGAAACTGTGGGAGATGTGGAAACATCCACGTACCTGAGAAGCATCATTGATGAACAATGAGTATCTGATGCAGATGTAAAGGCGAGGATTGGCAAAGCAAAAACTGCATTCCTACAACTGAAGAACATATGGAACTCAAACAACTGTCAATTAATTTCAAAGTGAGAATCTTCCATACGAATATCAAGAAAGTCTTACTGTATGGAGTTTAAACATGGAGAAGTACTACATTCATCGTCAAGAAGGTACAAGTATTTATAAACAGTTGTTTACGCGAAATACTCAATATTTTTTGGTCAGATATCGTCAGCAGTAGCCTGCCGTGGGAGAGGACAAACCAGCATACAGCTTCAGAGGAAATTAGGAAATGACGTTGAAAGTGGATAGGACGTACATCAAGGAAATCACCAATGTGCATCACGAGGCATTCCCTAACTTGGAATCCGGAAGGGAAGCGGAAGAGAGGAAGGCCTAAGAACACATTACGTCGGGAAATAGAAGCAGATATGAAAAAGATGAATATCAACTTGAAAGAACTCGAAAGAATTGATCAGGATAGGGTTGAAAGGAAAACGCTGGTGGGTGGGGTATGCTCCTCGACGAGGGATAACATGCGTAAGTACGTAAGTAATCAATATTATACTATTTGAACTTTTATAAATCCTTTTTATAACTTTCGGTTTTCCACGTCTACACGAATGGGACGTTAATTTACCATAGACGAATATGTAAACTAGATTCCCTCCCAATGTCTAGTCTATAGGACTTCAACAGAACTCAGATCAAGAACACTTGATAAGCCTGGCTTAAATGTAAATATGTTTCCACACGAAAAACCGACAGCAAGCCTACACAATATTTCAACAATCAATAATAATAAGGATAGGAGAATATATAACTCATCTAACGCCTGTCAGACTATCTACAAGTCTAACTGAACAAGCAACCAATCATTATCATTCTCTACCACACACCAATCTCTATTGTTAACCTGCAGATTAATGAAGCACTTTTATCTGCTTGTAACTTTACGACATTTGGAAATAATTCAATGACTCAGGTAGTATCTATTATACTTCATGATGTACTTATGATACATTTAAGGTTTAGAGTTTAAGTACGTGTTGTTGATTATCTCCAAAAAGATTGATATATACGTTGGGCTACCGATTACACTCAAATATTCAATACTGAAACCACCATATAATACTGAAGGTGACAGGGAGTTAGAGGTATTTGACAGAAAACCCTGTATCTGCATTATGAACTACCTGAAAAGCCATAGGAGACGTGGTTGAACTTTTAGAGGAGCTTGTCTTTAATGCAAGATTCATGCACTGTTTATCCAACTTCAACCTCCGTTACGCTTGAATGGTCTACTGGTGACGCCTCAAAATATGACTCAGCGTGATAAAGCTTAAATCTTCCATATTTTATCATCTTCCTCAAGGCTAAATGCATAACCTACTGATTACTGTCAAGTAGTATAAAATGTTAGTGCGGGATTTCCCTCCGTGTACCTCCAACTATGTGACATCAACAATTACTGAAAGAGATATCAAATCATTCAGACTAGTTGTGCCGTCTCGATTTGATCAATACTAAAGGTTTAGACAGTTGTTTGTAAATATCGAATACTTTTGTTCTGTCCGTTTACCAGAATGAAGGGTGATTTTATTCACTGTTTTATGGTCTGAATACGGAAGTACTGACTAGATGTTGGGAAGTAAAACGTTGTCCATAACAACATAAACTAGTCATTCTTTTACATAGATTTCTTCGCAAATGGTCAAATTACAGAAAATTAAGAATTTTTAAACTTTTTCTTAATCCAACTTGTAATTTCACACTTTTATGCAAACGTTCTATGATCTTAGAGGCCGAGTGGGCTCGAGTCCCAGAGTGATCATCAACTCTGAGATGCAGGTACATCCAGCTGACGAGTCCACTGCTAGCCACTATCCATCTTTGCTTACCATGCTTGTGAATTTAGGCTATACTAAGGCAATACTCCCAGTTCGCACATATGTCAATTAGAGACTGACCAGTTGCAGTCCTAAAAACATCAATGGGAACATCCAAACAAACAATACTTAGTAAATTTCATTCTATGATCTGTTGAAATAATTTTAAACATTTCTGTATTGAACTGTTTGATTTAGTCAGTTTACTTAGCATCTGAAAGAGTAAAGTGTTTAGCAGTAACTAACTAATAGATGATAGTTTAATTAATCGATAGTAATTAAAATAAAAATCGTTATGGTTATTTAACGTAGAAATTGTTTCATCATAATCATTTTCACTAAAGCGAAGAGATGATTACCACATCTTTCTGGTTGAGCTGTCAACCTGCATGAATATGTGGGCTACCTGATCCTGCCATTTAGACATTTTTCAAATGTCAATTCCTAAAGTGTAAACATCTAATTGGCTATTACTATTATCATCAAGGTGACTGTCTTTAGTTCCAATTAAGTCTAAACACGTATTATAATTGTGGTGTAATCACAATTTAAGAATCCTGGTTAAATAATTTACAAGAAAATTGCTCAATATCAAAACAAAATTTCAATATTTATCGTCAGGATCGATAAAGCAATAAGAAAAGTATAAAAAATGTAAAAAATCAATGGGAAGATTCAAACAAACAATATCAAGTGAATTCAAACTTCACCCCATTGCACAAGCAAGTGGCTATCATGACTTAGTAGCTGAGTGGTTAACGTTTGAATCGAAAGATACTGGGTTCAAATCCCAGAGTGAGCACCAAATCTGAGATGCAGGTACATCCATCTGACGAGTCCCAAATAGGACGAAACCTGATTCAAACTGGATTCCACTGCTAGCCACTGTTCATCTTTGCTAATAAACGAAACTTGTTGAGAAAATTTTGTGTTGTGTGTTGTATCAAAAATATAATATTGAATAAAACAATTATTGATAATAATAATAATGTTAATAAATCCTTCCGGTAGCATAGATAAGGTCAAAACAGTTTGACTTCAATTGACTACCCAGTCTATAGAAGTGTTTCATATCGTCTGTCACCTAAGTTTATTCTTAATAAATTTCATTTTTTTCCCCACCTCTTAACAAGATTCTTTTTTTATTTATTACATTAGCAATTAATTATGATCAGTGATGGCATCTTTGTATTTTGTGCTTTACATAAAAACAAATATCTACTTTCAGTTAGAACAACGTTTATTTCCATGAACAATCATATTTCATTAATTGAAAGCATGAGTCAATTGAAGCTAGACCACCATGGAAAACCTGGGACTCCTCAACAGTGCGTATCCACGAACCTGCTCTCGCGAGATTCGAATCCAAAACTTACCAGTCTCGCGCCAGAGCACTTAACCGATGAGACCACTGAGCCGGCATCTAACAGTGTTGATGTCTAACTTCAACCAATCCAAAAAGTTTGAGCAACCGTTCACCAATTGTCTTCAGTGAGTTGATATTTCACAACAGACGTGGTTTGAACACCACTGGTCACTGCTTCTCACTAGAGCTCCTGGATTTTCTTCGCGAAGTCACTAGTGAGCATATGATCTAGCATATGGTCTAGCTTCAATTGACTCATGCTTTCAACTATAAAACATACTAAATCTCCACAAAACCCCTTCTGATAATTAATATTTCATTAAACTTTCAATGGAATTCATTGTATGAAGATTAAAATTATTGAATTAAGGTTTCAGTTCACAATTTGTTGATTAAGAGTTAGAAATTTATTTAAATTTAGTAATATTTATAAACGAAACGTTTTATCTATAAATTCAAATGAATTTGTAATTGTTTAATAAACATTGAGCACATAAATTTTAACTTCCTCCTTCTCTGTCTGTGTCTCTCTAGAGAAAAATTCTCATTGGTTAACAATAACACTTTCTAATTTTAAATCAACATTTAAAAAAACAAATAGTACAATGTTCAATCTATACTAAATGATTTTTTTAACTGATTACATAAACAGAGATACATTTCCACACACAAAAAAATAATCACTAAGCTAATAAATTGCAATGTGAGTAGTGAAAAAAAAACAACTGAACTAAACTGCACCATGATAATTAATCATAACCATATATATATATATAAATCTTAAGAAAGATCTGTTCCATTTATATTGATTTTGGTGGGTGTTTGGAAATTGATTTTCCTTTTTTTTTTTGTTTTGTTTTGTTTGTTTATGGTTTTAATCGTAAACAAATGACATTGATTATTATTGTGTGTGTGTAATTTTTTTTCCTTCCTATAAGTGATTATGTAAGTGATAATATGTACATGCAAACATCACTACCAAGTGATTATCTTTTAGTTTTAATTATTTATTATTTATTTGTCTATTTGTTACGGATTTAATTTATATTTACTTATCTATTTAACCATCTATAAAAATAATGTAATTCAATTGACTAATGATCATTTCTATATTATGAATGAGGTTAACATTATACATTATTCAATATTTCCATAACACAAATTACCTAGGTATCTATGGCATTAAGGTATTCTGATGATGGAAAGCTGAAATAAATTTAGAAAAAAAAAGAAAATTATTTTTCATTAATCAATAAAAGTAACAACAACAACAACAAAAAATGCAGAATGAGATTACCATTGAAATTCGTAGAATTTTTCCTAAATGGTTAGCTAAATTATTAATTGGATTTTATATGATAATGCCATCTATATTTGAACGTGTATCACCTATATTATTGAGTACATTTATATATGGAAATTTTGATAATATAATATCATTATTAATTGATCATATACTGTAAGTTAAAAACGATATTTATTGTTTATCATAATTTATTGATTTATGAATTTTTGAAATGGTGCCATATTTATGGTTTATATTTGTAAACTGACATGGTAACTATGAGAAACTAGTAAGAACTTAACAGCTGTTCCGCTTATATATAAGGTTTTACACCGCGGCTTACTAACGATGTTAATGAGGAGTGTAAAGTATCATGACAAGCTTGTTACTCATAAATGGGTTGGTATCCAGTGTTTTACATATAGAGTATATATGCTTGGATAATACTAGAAGTTTAAAACACTGACAATAGCTGAGTAGTATAGAGTTAGCATGCTTGTCATGAAACATAAAAATAAATTAGTTCCGGCATTGGTTGAAATAGACTATATGCAGTGTTGAGTAGTCACGAGTTCAATCAAAAACACAGAAGCTCAATCTGCCTGTATTTCAACGGTCACCTTAACAAAATCATTTTGTAATCACGTAATTAGTAACGGAAATTTCTTTGATATTATTCAAAATGTCAACAAAATTTATTTACTTATTTAAACACATAAATATTGGTACAAAAAAGCACCAGATACATATGCGCCACACAAATCTCACTTCATTTGCGCGGGGGCTGTGATAATGCCCGGGTGCCCAAACTGAAGCAGATGGTTTTCTTAGGTGGCCACACCCGGAACCTTTGACCTAAAGATCTGATCCACAAGGCAGTGGAGCGACGTCAGGAGATACAGTTCCATGATAGCCGGTGACCGACGATTGATTCATACTCTATTTGTTTCTTCAAGATACTGCAGCCCATGTGCACCATTGGTTTGGAATGAGGGATTTCCAACTCCCCTAGGTGAACTTTCCATGTCCACCAACCCAGTTAGAGCGCCGGACATTCTCTTTTCGTTCTCTCAATTTCGTAAACAACAGTAATGCCACGAGAAGGCAGTGAGTAAGACTTCCTTGACAAAGACTATATACGCGTGGCCATGTGAAAGCATTTGAAGAGGGAGAGCGGACTCTCCCCACTCTCGGCCGTACCAGGGCATGTCAACAAAAACTAACTAAAAAATGATTCAATGCAAATCACGGCCCAATGGCTTAATTTAGACATAATGAACCGTTTTTACGACTTTATAGCAAGTTAAGACAATAGAATTATAATTTCAGTATTGATAATTTTCACTTGGTCAGGGATCAGTACTTCCGAATATATTTGACTAAATAGAAATAGAGTTATTAATTCAATACTCATAACTTTAAACACTAATGTGTTATGTAACCTTATAATTAATAAGAATTTCGATTTTTAAACTGTTATGGAGGTGTCCAAATTTCATCTACTGTTCTACGTTTAAATCTGTTCACCTAGTTTATTCAACCAGATGGTCAGTTACACTTACTTTTAAACCAAAAGTGTGACTCGAAGCACAGTGTGCAAAACTCTACTGAATTTATGAGACAGAGTAAAACTGATACATTAATTATAGCTTCAGTAAAAGCTCGTCGTATGTATGTTCCTCTATGCCATATACTTATGTGTTTGATTGGTGTAACAAGTATAAACAATGGTTTTAAATAATCTTTTAACAATAGTGAACATAGAAGCAGTAAAATCTTACAGTAAGTCGGGAAATTGTAGGTTTCTGTAGATTGTTACAACAAACAGGATTATAGTGTTACTTAGTGTATTAGATCCCACAAAATCGTGGATACGTCTTGCTAAAGATTGTCAGGTGGCAGGGTTCCCTGTTGAATGTCTCCATCACTTAAAATCTGACTGTGCTACTGGTGATGTTGAGTTGCTTAGACAAGTTCCTAAATTGTAGTTCGGTAGATGAAATTCTGTCAAGGGTAAGAACTATGAAAACAAGAAATAACTTGATACTCAGGGATTAATCAGTGTAACAATGACGCACTTTTTGGAATTCATGAAGAAGGGTGATTCAAACCACATCTATTTTTTTCCTCCTGATTTTGAGTTTACTAAGCTTTAAGAGTATGACTATACTATCATTTATTTTGTCTTCAGTAATATTTAACTGGAGTTCTATGAAGATTCATAAGAACCCTTTACTGTTGTAAACTCATAAGCTTATTGCTAGAATATGGATTCTTAATAAGTGTATTAAAATAAAAATCATTTGTAGATATTCTATTCTCTAACCATTGAAGAAATCAATTTTGCACTCTTGTTTGGACAAGGATCTTTATGAGGCTAGCTGACGACAGTGTCGTTCTTCACCCGGTAAATGATTTATAAGAAGTTTCAATTTCTTTTGATAAAACCACTGGTAGTTATCTATTTCACTGTATCTATATTTATGAACTCCTGATTTATTACATATTAGCTGTCTACTAACTGGGGTTTCATTATGGCAGTAGGGTGCAGAGAGCAGAATAAGCACCTTAATTGAACAATTGTATAGAAATATTTTTCAACTAATATGCAATCAAATTTATAAAATTGGTTATTTTTAACATTCCGATCGACAGAATATCTTGAAAAGCTTTACAAATGGTTATTATACTTTGAGAGCAGCCAACAATAACAAATTTTCATCTGATACACAGTTGATGAATGCTTATTAATTGAAATATTTGTGATAGTTTGTTAGTACGCAAACAGATTATTACTTACTTAATTACTTGAGCCTGTTACCCATCGTCGAGGAGCATAAGCCACACACCAACATTCTCCACCAAACCTGTCCTGGGCAGTTCTTTCCAGTTCCTTCAAGTTGCTATGTATCCTTTTCATATCTGCTTCTATTTCACGGCGTAATGTGTTCTTTGGTCTTCCTTCTTTTCGTTCCCCTTTCGGATTCCAAATTAGCACTTGCCTCATGATGCAGTTTGGTGATTTCCTCAATGTCCAATCCACTCCCAACGTCTTTTGCTAATTTTCTCTTCATCTGGAAGCTGGTTTGTCCTCTCTAATAAAACGCTTTTGCTAATGGTATCCGGCCAGTGAATGTTGAGTATTCTGCGTAGACAACTGTTTATAAATACTTGTACTTTCTTGACGATGAATGTAGTAGTTCTCGAAGTTTCAGCTCCGTACAGTTGAACTGTCTTGACGTCCGTATTAAAGATTCTCACTTTGTAGTTAGTTGACAGTTGTTTGAGTTCCATATGTTCTTCAATTGTAGAAATGCTGTTCTTTATTTGCCGAGCCTTGCCCTTACGTCTGCATCAGATCTTCCTTGTTCATCAATGATGCTTTCCCGGTAGGTGGAACATTCCAAATCTTCCAGAGTTTCGCCATCAAGTGTGATTTGGTTGGTGTTATCTGTGTTGTATTTGAGAATCTTGCTTTTTTCTTTGTGTATGTTGAGGCCTATTGATGCAGAGGATGCTACTGCATTAGTTGTCTTCGTTTGTATTTGTTCGTGTGTATGAGATAGGTGGGTGGGTCATCTGAAAAGTCTAAATTGTCTAACTGCATACAACCTGTCCATTGTATTCCATGCTTTCTCTCAGATGTCGGGGTCCTCATAATCCAGTTGACCACCAGAAGAAAGAGGAAGAAGGAGAGTAGACAGCCTTGTCTGACTCCGGTCCTTACTGGAAATGCATCAGTCAGCTGTCCTCCATGCATCATTGTAGTCCGTCGTTAGAGTTCCGGATAATATTGACGATCTTCTCAGCTACTCAATCCATAGTGTCGAAGAAGTTTCCATAACGTTCTCCGGTCCACGCTGTCAAATGCCTTCTCATAATCAATGAAGTTGACGTATAGTGATGAGTTCCACTCAACAGAATGTTCAACGATGACCAATAGTGTCGCAATCTGGTCTGTGCACAACAGATCCTTACAGAATTCAGCCTGTTGATCTCGAAGTTGGGTATCTACTGAGTCTTTCGTACGGTTCAGCAACACTCTGTTGAAAACTTTTCCAGGTACTGATAACAGTGTGATGCAACTGTAATTCTCACATTAGATCAGATCTCCTTTATTTGGTATCTTGATCAGATATCCTTCTTTCCAGTTCGTCGGAACTTGCTCGTCTTCCCAAATCTTCTTGAACAGAAGGTGAAGTATGTTTGCAGTTACTCCAATGTCCGACTTCAGTGCTTCAGCTGGTATATTGTCAGGTCCTGCCACTTTCCCGCTCTTGATTTCTCTGATGGACATCTTGACTTCTTTGATAGTTGGTGGGGATGACATCTACTGGAAGGTCAGTGTGTGCTGCTTCGATGTTCGGTGGATTCAATGGGGCTGGTCTATTCAGCAGTTCCTCGAAGTATTCTGCCCATCTTTTCCTCTGTTCTTGAATCTCAGTGATTGTCTTTCCTTCTTTGTCCTTGACTGGTCTCTCTGGTTTGCTATATCTTCCTGCCAATTTCTTCGTTGTATCATATAGTTGTTTCATATTTCCTTCTCTTGCAGCTTTTTCCTCTGTCATTGCTAGTTCTCCCATGTATTTCTGCTTGTCGGCCTTAATGCTTTTCTTCACTTCCCTGTTTGCTTCTGCGTAGTCTGCTTGTGCTTTGACTTTCTCTGCTCGTGTTCGGCTGTTGTTAATTGCTAGTTTCTTGTTCTTCCTTTCTTGAATCTTGTCCAGGATTCCCATAGAGAGCCATTCCTTGTGATGATGTTTCTTGCGACCCAGAACCTCCTGATATGTTGAAGTTTTATCTTGACCACAACCAGGTCGCGGTCTGAAACTGTGTCAGGTCCTCTTCTGTTTCTCACATCTTCAATTGTCCTTAAGAGGTTTTCGTTGATACAAATATGATCTATTTGGTTCTCTGTGGCGTGATCCATGTTGCCTTGTGTATGCGTTTGTGTGGAAATATTGTGCCGCCTATAATCAATTTGTTGAATGCATATATATTTTAAAAAATCTTTCCCCATTTTCATTTCACTCTCCTAGTCCATGTCGTCCAATTATATCTTCATATCCTGTGTTGTCCACTCTGAATTTAGTATTTAGATTTCCCATCAGAATGGTGAGGTCCTTTCTTGAACACTTAGCTATGATTAATTGAAGCCTCTCATAGAACTGATC